CCCAACTGAGTGAGTCCCAACTGAGTGAGTCCAAACTGAGTGAGTCCAACTGAGTGAGTCCCAACTGAATGAGTCCAACTGAGTGAGTCCAAACTCAGAGTTCCAACTGAGTGAGTCCAATTGAGTGAGTCCAACTGAGTGAGTCCAGACAGAGTGAGTCCAAACTGACCGAGTCCTATCTGAGATAGTCCAAACTGACCGAGTCTAAATGAAAATAGAAACTATATATTTTTTCCAAACCCAGTCATAAATCCACCACGTTCTTTTTGGCCAGTTTTTTTGCTCCACTAAGTTAATGAACTGGATGTAGTCAGAAAAGACGACTCAGAACCAGTAAGGGAACTGCAGAGCCTCTGACTGTTGACTCGAGAAACTCATGAAAGACCCAGAAGTTCTGCCAACAAACAATGTGTAGTTGAACATGTTTGTCCCAAAGCTGCATGTTTCCAGGCTGGACACACGTACAAACCCGGTATTTATTTTTTAGCCTTTTATTAAAAAAAATGAATTTTTTGTTTGTTTTCTGCCATAAATCTCCTGTTGGACCTTTAGTCAGCACGAGCTGCAGGCTGCCGTCCACTGAACCACCATGAAGCTACTTCAGCATGCAGAGCAGTTAGTGCTTCAAATTTAAATTTTTATTGAGTTTATTTACATTTTTCAACCCTGTTTGACTGGTGGGTTCCGTTAAACATTTTAACTTCCTCCGTGTGACTTTCTGAGCATTTTCAAATCATTTTGATCTTTTCTGATAAGGGGTGTCGTAAAGAGGGAGGCCAGGAAGTTTGTGTGTGTGTGGAGGCTGGTGAATGGGTCATATGTACACAAGTATGAGCAAATGTTTGCACCTGCCCGTCTGGGAGAAAACACCTGCTGCAGGGTGTCAAAGACCACCTGTCGGACTCCGTCCTGCAGCTGTTTAGGAGCTGATCCAGTGTCAGCACAAGTTCAAGCAGCAGCAGTGAGGGTGAAAACAATAACGCCACAGATTCACCCCGTTAGTCCAGAGAATGGAACAGGAAGTCCTTCCTGCATGGCAGAAGAAGCGAGCAGGAAAACAGCGAACGGTTAAATCTGGAAAATAACCAGCTGATGTCACCAGGATAGAAGTGAAAGATGGAGAGGAAGAGGCGGACGATTCTCTTCAGCTTCAATTTTGATGCGTTTAAACTGTTAAAACACCAGACTGAGGAAATTCTGAATGCAAGGAACACGATGACACTGGTTCTCCCTACAGTGAAGCACGGTGGCGGCTGCATCATGATGTCAGTATGACTTCCATCAGCAGGAACTGGACACGAGGCAGAGCTAAAGGAACGATGGAGCAGAAACAGAGATGTTCTTGATGGACAACTGTGGATGAAAACTGTTTGACCGGAACCACTGTAACTCCTGTAAGTCAAACATCTGGGGTGGGGGTCATTTCCGGGGGTTGGTGTGGTTCCGGTAGAGGGCGCTTCCGCCCTGTTTCCTCTGCACGTGCCCCCCTGATTATTTAGGAGCCAGTTTATGACTTCAAGACTTTTTGTTGTTTATTTACCGTTTTTTAAAATGAAGTCAGACTTTCAGCAGAGCCGTGTTTTCATTTGAATTCTGAAGGAAAATAAAACTTTTTAATTTCAGTAAATAATTCTCAGACTCCTAAAATCATTTAAAGTCTCAGGACTGATCCTCGGGACCCGAACCTTCCTCTCATTGGTTCACGCTCGCTTTGCCTTGCGTCTGATTGGTGCACCGAGCTGTCAATCACAGCGAGCGCCCCGACTGTCTCCGCTGCTGTGCGCGCTGCGGCTCAGTGCGCAGAGCTGCGGAGGGAAGAGCACCGACAGCTGCTGCGCGCGTCCCGCACTGCAGCCCCGCATCCCTGAGAGGACAGGACAGGACAGGACAGGAGAGGACAGCCTGGCTGGAGCAGCAGCTGCAGACATGTGGACTAACACCGGGAAAGTCTTCTGGGTTTGTCTCCTCGCGACTCTCCGGCTGGAGGTGAGAACTTCATCGTCTTCTCCTCAGAGGAGATGATCCACAGACAAATCATGAAACTTCAGTTTGGTGTTCGGAACAATCATCCAAACTTCTTTAAATCATACTTTAATTTAACGTTAACAGAAAGTTCCTTTAAATGAGGTTATTTATGATAAACGGACACGTGGAGTGGAGTGGTGGCGCAGCGGTTAGAGGAGTGAACCTGTGTTTAGGAAGGGTGCCGGTTCAAATCCCCCTGTTGACTGTAACATCAAAATATGGGTGGGAAAGGTGAAGCACCTGCCCCCACTCCGAGCCCTTGAGCAAGGCCCTTAACCCCCATCTCCTCCCTTTACCTATACATCTCCACACAGAGGGCTGTGGTGCCAGGAAGAGCAGCCAGAGGAAAAACAATCCCCGAGTCTTCTGTGAGTTGGTTCGTTGTGGACGCTGAAGAAGGAGCAGCCGAAAGAAGAAGAAAACATTTAAACAACAAGTTTTCAGCGACAGACCAAACTTTTTAAATTCTTTCAGTCTCAGTCGGGTCATCTGGACAGTTTCTTTTTTTATAGAGACGTTTTGCCTTCTATCCAGAGGGCTTCATCAGTCTGAGGAAAACAGAGGACGAAACGTCATATAAAAAATTAACTGTCCAGATGACCTGACTGAGAATGATTGGATTTGATACCTGGATGATTGAGCAAAAACTTTGTTTTCTTTGTTTAGTTTTTCTGAATGATGCATTCAGGGCTTCATGATGTATTCAGGGCTTTATGATGCATTCAGGGCTTCAAGTTTAGTTCAGAGCTTTGTGATGCATTTAGGTTTTCATGATGCGTTCAGGGCTTTATGATGTAGTCAGGGTTGCATGGTGCAGGGCTTCATGGTGCATTCAGGGCTTCATGATGCACTCAGTTCTTCATGATGTGTTCACGGCTTCATGATGCACTCAGGTCTTCGTGGTGCATTTAGGGCTTCGTGACTTTCAGAGCTTCGTGATGCATTCATGGTTTCATGATGCGTTCAGTCTTCATGGTGCATTCAGGGCTTCATGAGCTGTTCACGGCTTCTTGACTCGTTCAAAGCGTCATGATGCATTTAGGGCTTTGTGGTGCGTTCAGGGCTTTGTGATTATTTACGGCTGCTGACAGAAAGTGTCTGGTGGACTTGTGCAGCAGCTGCAACCAGAACTCGGATTCGAGTCTGAAGCTGCAGAACGTTGGACCTCTGATCTGAACAAACGAGACGTTTCTGAAACTTTCTGAGAACAAACTCCAGACACGAACAAGAAGCAGAAAAAAGATTTGAATTTAAATAATTCTGATCTGAACCTGTTGATGTCCTCTTGACATGTCTCCTGTCCTTCTCGTCCACAGGCGCCCCAGGCCTCGGGGTTCTTTGAGCTGCAGCTGGTCTCTGTGGAGAACCCCGGAGGTCGGCTCCTGAGCGGGGACTGCTGTGACCCGGAGCCCGGTTCAGAGGACGACGGCTGCGGTCCGGACGAGTGCGACACCTCCATCCGGGTCTGCTTGAAGGAGTACCAGAAGGAGGTCACGACCTCTGGACCGTGCACGTACGGCTCGGAGACCACCAAGGTGATCGGAGGGAACAGCTTCCAGCTCCGGGGCGGACAGAAAATTGGACCGAACCGGAACAACGACGCAGGACGGATCCTCATCCCGTTCCAGTTCGCTTGGCCGGTAAGTTGGGTCCAGATGAAGGTTCTGAATGTGCGCCGGTCATGGTTCTGAGGACGTTCAGACCCGATGCTCAGTTCGGGCCAGTTGCAGGACTCTAATATTTGTGTGGAACCACTGGTATGGTCCAGGTGGGCTGATGGTTCTTGGGTCCAAACAGCAGCTCTGGACGGTTTTCATGAATCACCCGTCACTTTGGACATTTCACCGAGCCCGGTTCTGATGGATCCAGAAGACTGTGTTTGGAGCCAACCAGAACCAGCTCTCGCTCCCTGTGAGGAGAGGCAGCATGTGTGATGTCATCACTGCTGTGGTTCTGACAGGAAGTCCCGAGCTCAGGTGAAACTTTGTGTGTAAACTTTTCTGCAGAAGGCCACCGCAGAGGGGCGGAGTCAGCCGGGCCCGGCGGGCTGACCGGGTCAGCTTGGTTTGTGAGGCCGGCACTGGACCTCAGGGAGGATTCGTGCTGAAGCTGGGCCGGGGAGGCCCCCCAGGTTCTGATTCTGTTTGTTTGGGGCTTGTTTGTGCCGCGATGTGCCCAGGAGGGGTGGAGGAGTGTTTTGGATTTGGCTCAGACCTCGGCTGAGTTTTTGATCTGACAGCTGGATTTATGGATCTGTGAGAGACTGAGGCGACACCTCGGAACCTGTTCTCAGGTTCATGAGAACCTCCAGAGTCAGGCGAGGGCTCCGGGTCCGCTGGTGTGACGGAGTCTGAGAGGAATGTTCATCGAGCAGCTTCACTCTGGAGGAGCTGTCAATCATCCCGTGCAGGCTCTGCGCCTGAAGAGATGAAGTCGGCGCACGTTTTATAACTTCTCATCATCAAACTGTCGTTTTTATCGGATCATCTGGAAACTTTGCTGTCAATCAAAAAACTTCTGTTTGTTGTTCTTTTGACCCGTTCAGGCACATCTTGGGTCCAGTTTGGTCTCGGTGTGAGAACGCAGCTGGTACTGAAGCTGACGGTGTGTGTGTGTGTGTGTGTGTGTGTGTGTCTCCTTCCATCGCTCCTCCCTGAGAGAACCAGGATCTTCATTGTGTTCTCAACCTTTTCTCCATTTTCCCTCCTTTCGGGTCAGAACTGACCCAAACGGTCGGTGAGGGTTCAGCAGGTTTCTCAACTCATCTGGGATCAACATCCCTGTTTGTAACCACTGTTACCCAACCTCCTTTTACAGACGAACTCCTGCTGCTCTCTCACCTCCTTTCTGCATAAAGAAGACAGCTGTTAGTGAGGAGGTGTCTGAGGAGGCCTGTGTGGGTTAGGTGTGTTAGGAGGTGTGTGTGTTAGGAGGTGTGTGTAAGGAGGAGTATGTTAGGAGATGTGTGTTAGGAGGTGCGTGTAAGGAGGTGTGTGTTATGTGTATGTTAGAAGGTGTGCGTGTAAGGAGGTGTGTGTAAGGAGGAGTATATTAGGAGGTGCGTGTAAGGAGGTGTGTGTTATGTGTATGTTAGGAGGTGTATATTAGGAGGTGTATATTAGGAGGTGCGTGTAAGGAAGTGTGCATTAGGAGGTGCGTGTAAGGAGGTGTGTGTTAGGAGGTGTGTGTTAGGAGGTGTTTGTAAGGAGGTGTTTGTTAGGAGGTGTCCAAAAGGAGGTGCGTAAATGGAAGTATATGTTATGTGTATGTTAGGTGTGTAAAAGGAGGTGTATGTAAGGAGCTGTGTATAAGAAGGTGTGTAAAAAGAGGCGTGTAAAAGGAGGTGTATGTTAGGAGGTGTGTATAAGGAGGTGTATGTTAGAAGCTGTGTATAAGAAGGTGTGTAAAA